CAGAGCTGCATCCATGTGGAGAAAAGAGCGGAGTTCCTATATAGTATACCTCTGGATTCGTGACCCACATTCAATGAATGAGTTCTGGAGCTAGGACCTGCCTTCGTATGGTTTTGGAAAACACTGCCCACCAAGGCCTACACCTTGCTTCATAACGATCGCCCTCTCCTTCCGACAGAGTGTTTGAGAGACATCTTTGAAGGAGATGAGGCGACCTTAACTGCGGTGGCGCTACCCATGCTTAGAAGCTCGGACAAGTGTGGTTGGGACTGGGGACCGTCAAATAGCTCGGAGGACATCTATTCCAATCTATTCCAATTTATTCAATTTTGGTTTTCTAATATTGACTTAGCACCCATGAAATGATTAGGTGAGTCACTGTATCATGCACTATTGGTTGCAGATCGGGTAGTTGCGCTCATTGCGGTGCATTGTTCACTGCAGTTATTGTACCTCAGATGTGGCGCTTCCAACGACCCTGTCAAACAGTGGCCTAAATCTGAGCCGTGGGCACTACCGCCACAAAGAGGCCTTTGAACGGCTTTTCCACGGGATGAAGTCACCATGTGGACAAAAACCTGGTCAGTTGGATTCGGTTGTCCTTCCCACAGCACTGACTGCATTGGTCCGATGACAAGGGGAAGTGTCCTGGTCCCGTGCGGCTTCGCCAAGCGTGCCGCTGTCCAGAAATACCTTGCAACCTTGACGTGTTGGCAGCGGCATTCATTCCCAATTCGGATGACCTGCTCATGGTGACCAAGGGCAACATCACTGCTGTCAAGGATCAATGTACACATGTTACAGTACACGGTCTCCAAGTGAAGGAATCAAACAAACACCATGGGCAAGGCCCAGCAGTCAACGATCATCAGGGCAAACCATGCCCGTATATATTCTTATTGTTTCTTGTTGAAATGATATCTGTCAATCTGGCACCCCATATATACTATATGTATATACATATATTTATATATATATGCACGTACATCATATTGTCAACCAGTTGTGCGATTGCCGAAGAAAGGTCTTGAGTCATATTATATATACTTTTTATCACTTCTACTCGTCGGTTGAAACTGAAACTCCAGACCGCAGGATGAAGAAATCCCAGCGCTTGGCTTCTCGACAGCATGCAAGCTTGCCTGACATGGCTGCCTCAAAACTGGAGATTTGGTGGCTTTGTGAGTCTTGAAGCTTTTTGCATCGCATCCTTTCCAAATGCAGGCTTAGAGGCCGTAGATGTTGCGATGAGAGCCATGAGATCACGCAGTGCCGTTTGATGTGCAAGGAGACAATGATCCCACTGGAATTTTATGGTTTTGGCGGCTTTTCCGCGCAGAGCAGTGGTCCTTTCTTTCAGCCTCGCTCGTTGCGCGTGCCCCAGCTGCAGGAAGGGCCCAAGCTCAGGTCCAGGTGTGTCCAAAAGTATGAAGACGCATCCTTTTCCAACAAAGAAAAGGCTATTTCCTCATTTCGGGCTTTCATGCTGGCGGAATGCAGCTGACTGTATAGTACCGTCATATGCCTCCACTGTCCACATTGCTTTCACACCAGGTCAGCCAAACGAGAGGCACCAGTAGCAAGGTGCTTGAAGTTTAGAATGCCAATCCCCTTTTGGCCTTGCTATTTCTGTTCTATTTCTAAGGTCGGTCGCCTTGTTTGAGCAATAATGCTTTGCAGCTTGTCATGCAACCAGTTTGGGTAGTAGGTCCTTGCGATTTGTGCCCATTAGACTAGCATTGGCTGGTGATTATTGTGACTGTTGTGGAAGATGGCGTGTGCTGGTTGTTGGTGGCATGTTCGGTTTCGCCCGCAGCTTGATCAAGCGTTCGCCGCGAAAAGCTGCGCCTTTCGCTTTCGCATTTTCTTAGAGCCCAATTCATCTCCGCATTGGTAGCGGAGCCTACCGAATACCGGTGGGCAGGTGCTGTGCCGCACCTAGGGTCAGGGATGGAAACGACGGCCGACACCATCCCTGTTCCCTCATGGGACGGAGCTGAGACTCCTGGTGGCCGAGCCACCCCGCCAGCGGCGGAGCCAGAGGGCGGCGCCCCGACCCGTGGCCGAGCCACGGAACAACACGGCAGAGACCGTGCAGAACGTGGACGCTCCACACATCGAGGTCGAGGCCGCGGACGAGCACGCCCTGAACTACCACGACCAGCACACTCCCCAGGACACAAAGGAAAAGGTCATGGAGGGAAGAGTTCAAAGGGCAAAGACAAAGGCGCTGGAGCTGGACGAGGCCGACATCCCTACACCATGGACGATGCCTACGAGGTGCTTGATGAAGGTCAATGGAACCAGATCTTCGGACAATGGTCTGCAGTTACTGGATGGTCAAGTCAGGTGCCTGGCTGGTACCAATCACCTCAAACGGGCATTTGGATGTTCTGGACCGGAGCTCAATGGTTGTCCTATGAGCCATCAACCATGGACGGATCATGGCACCTTCCTCGACGAGAAGCTGAACAAGCAAAAGGCCGAGAGAAAGGCCCTCCTCACTCGACTGCATCGACTTTGGAGCACCCGTCACAACACCGTTCAGTAGGTGTTCCACTTCCCGAAGGACATGGACTTCGTGCCAAGGCAGCTCCAAAGGAAGCAGCGAAGAAGGAGAAGAAAGACAAGAAGGAAGCCAAGGACAAGAAGGATGGCAGGGACAAGTCAGACCGCAGCGCCAAGGACAAGAAGAAGGATAGGAAAGAACAGCCGAGGGAGCAGAGGACAAAGACGCCACCTCCACCTTCAGCTGCTGAGAAGGGGGAGAAAGGCGACAAGAAGGAAAAGAAGGATAAGAAGGAGAAGAAGGAATGTCATGAAGATGATCCTCGTCCATCTGGCCGTGACGACTCACAGACTCCTTCGAAGAAGTCCAAGGCAGCGCCTCCGAACCCTGATCCGCCTGGCGAAGATGATGATGAGGAGGAGTACTCCGAGTACACCTACGAGGAGCAGGAAGAGAGTGAAGAGTCAGAAGGATTCGAAGAAGATCCGCCGGTGACACCATCCAATCTCACTGACGACAGCCGTGGCCCGAGGCAGTATCAGAGGAACCCTCGTGACCCACGTCTACGACCCCCACCTGGTCCGCCGTCTTCGGATCCGACTTCGTCCAACGTGACATCAACTCCGGCTGCTTCGAATCGCACGTCATCAAATCGCACACCATCCAGAGCATCAGGTTCGAGTGCATCTACGGCTTCCACAGGTGAGATCCGTGCCCTCCTGGGTCAACAGGCGAAGAAGCAGCAAGACAGGTCGAAGCCTTCGCTTAGTCAAGTCCGCCTGGAAATGTTCAGGGGTTCAAGATCCCACTTCAAAGAGTGGAAGCGCACCATTGAGGCCCAGCAGGCGCTGTACAGGTTGGATGAGGCCGAATTGGCCATGTTAATCTATCTTTCATGCCAGGGAGAGCCGCGTCAAATCCTGAATCAACTTCAAGTCTCCGAGATGAGGGAGCCAGGAGGACTCAACCGAGTCATGCGGCTGCTTGAGGAGTCCTATGGTGCCAGATCTGACGAACGCTTCGAAGAGCGCCAGGAAGCTTATTTGACGTATCGCCGTGCGCCAGGTCAGAGCGTCGCTTCCTATATCAGCACCTTGAAGAGACTTCGAACAGAATACCTGGCAGAAGATACAGGAACCACGCTGTCCGACAAGAGTTTTGCCCAGAGAATGCTATCCCGTGCTTCCCTCACCAAGAAGGAGAGGATGGACATCTTCTACAGTGCTGGCGGCAAGTATGCATCCAATGCCATCGAGAAGGTTCTCAGGTTCAGATGCTCGAATGTCCATCTCGATGAGGCCAAGTACCGCCCTCAGGACAAGCACCATCATCCACGCCGATGGAAGACTTCATCAACCTCCAAGTCAAATCGCCCGAAACCTCACCGATCCTCTCGTGCACATCTCGCCAATGTCAAGGAGGAGCCGGACTGGGACGATGACGAGGAAGGCATCCCAGAGGAAGAAGGTGATGATGAGGCCTACTACGAGAACGAAGACGATGAGGCTGACAATGAAGACTTGGAACAGGAGGCCTACCAGCAGGACCACTACTGGGATGACGAAGATGAAGAAGGCGACTGGGATTGGGATGATGATGGCATGGACTTGAGAGAAGCCTATGCGGCAGGATGGCGTGCCAAGCAGAAGTCCGCTGAAGCTCGCAAAGCACGTGGCTATAGCGATGCCAAGTCCAAGGGCAAGGGCAAAAAGGGCAAGAAGGGTGGTGGCAGATTCGTGGAGTACCGCACGAAGGACCAGCGGAAGGCCAAGTCCAAGTGTGCATCATGCAAACAGATTGGACACTGGCATGGTGACCCTGAGTGTCCAAATGTGAAGAATGGGACTGACCCTCCACGAGATGATCCCGCAAAGTCGCAGGTCAACTTCACCACCGACACTTCGCCTACGGCACGTGGCAGCGGCACAAGGACCAAAGAAGAGGTCAAGCAGGAGGAGGATGACGGCAGCAGCCACACTTGGAGCACCAAGGGACTCAATGTGCGCAAGGTGAACTGGACATTTATGGAAGGTTGGCAGCGCATCAAGGCCTATTCTTCGGACTCCAGTTCAGCCGTCTCTTCACCAAGCAGCAGTTCAGAGCCAGAAGAACCTCTTGGATTCAGTGCCGGCAAATCGTCAGAAGAAGCATCTGCTCAGAAGAAGGCTTCCAAATATAAAGCAGCTCTTCGCACAGTGGTTTCAGCTTTGGCTGAAGAAGTTGATGAGTCTGATCTCAAGTTGAAGAAGAAGCTGCTGAAGAAGCAAGAGCAGTTGCAAGAGAAGGAGAAAGAGCTGGCAAAAGCAAAGAGCAAAGCAAAAGGATCGAAGCCCGTGGCAATGGAGACCGACCTCGCACCGGCCGATATGCTGGAGATCCTCCCGTACATGTCAAAAGAAGAGAAGAGGAAGCTGTACAAGGAGCTGAAGGCAGAAAGAGATCGTGAAGCGGCACGATACTTGGACCAGCATCAGACGGCCGAGAAGCTGAAGAGATCAGACAAGCGGCATGATGGAGGCTATAAGGCAGCAAGCTCGTCGACCACCCCGGCACCAGAGCCAGCTTCGACAAGTGATCTCCCTGAGCCAGTTCGGCGCAAGCGTCTCAAGCAGTTCAGGAAAGATCTTTATGATGGTGCCTTGGATCGAAAAGGACGAGTTCGACCTTCAGAAGCATCAGAGCTGCCAACTCCAGAACAGGAGAAGTGCCCTCACTTGTGGCAGAACTTGAGGTGGGGCGCAAACGGTGCCGCTCATTGGGCTTCTTGCAAGGCTTGCAAGTTGAAAAAGGTGCTCTATTACAGCATGGACCATGGTGCACTCACCGCCGAGACGGTCTTGGAGGAGGACCCCATGGATGTTTGGATGCTGGAGCACGCAGCCCATAAAGTGATCTTGGACAGTGGATGCCGCACTGCAGTCGCTGGTGCAAAGTGGCATGTCAAGATGCGCCAGGCCCTGGACCAGCGCGATCTTCCCTATGAGGTGCTGGAGCATGAGGAGACTTTTCGCTTCGGTGCTGGAGCTCCAGCTCTGTCAACGGAAGCTGGTCTCTATCCAGTGGTCTTGGGAGGAACTGGCATCCGATCGTGGTTGAGAGTTGCTGTGGTTGATGACACCAAGCAGGATCCCCGGATTTCAAATTGCCCGGCACTGGTTGGACCTTCAGAGCTGGCACGCTGGAAGGTCACTATGGACTTCGCCAAGGGCATGACGGTGATTGATGGCTGCAGCACACCTACGGAGCTCTCACCAACTCGACACCCCGTTCTCGAGATTCTGGGTGATGGCAAGGCAGAGGATTGGAACACCTCCGAACTTCGAGAACTTCGAGCTGTCCTACGAGCAGATCCACACAAGTTGGCGCTTTGGCAGAGCCAAGATGAACTTTCTCCCTCCAAGCAGGAGGCGACATCTTCAGATGACTCTGAGGTGTCTTTTTACTCCCTGGCTGAGCCAGAATCAGATCTGGAAGATCTAGCTCTGTGGCAGAGCCACATGGAAGATGAGGCCATCAGTGGTTTGGACCAGATCGTGCACAAGGTCCCCATCAAGGAGGCGGAGCCCCATGACGACAGTACGGACTCAGACAGCCATGGCTCGTTCTCTTCAGGCCAATCTGAGTCATCCCACGAAGATGGACCATCATCAGCTGATGAGAGCACGTCAGACTCTGAGGGAGAACCTGACCGCTTTGAAGACGCCCTCACAACCGGCCTCACGCAGGAGGGGAATGAGATCTTGACCAAAGGTCAGCGCAAGCGTCTTCTCAACGCAGCAAACCAGATTGCCGATGCAGCTGCGATTGAAGTTTCTTGCAAGCCTGCTCTCATCGCTCGCAGCACCAAGCCCTCAGTTCGCTCAAGGTGGCGCATTCTCGAGCTCTTTACATGGTCATGTATGCTGTCAATCACTGCCACCGAGCGAGGATGTTGGGAAGCTTGGGAGCCAATCTCTTTGGAGTCAGGCTGGGATGTCAGCACCATGGACGGCCAGAACAAGGCAATGAAGTACATCCAGGAGGTCGAGCCCGACGTCTTGATGATCGCTTGGCCATGCAGCCCATGGAGTCCGCTTCAGAACATCAGCATGAGGACTGAAGCTCAGCGACTGACTTTGCAGCGCAAACGCCTTCAGGCCCGGCGGACAGTTTTGTCCTTCACCCGCC